CAGCAAGATAATAGAGATGAAGATGAAGACAAAGATGAGCGAGGATTAGAGGGGTTTCGCGTGCACTTCGGATTGTGAGGGCGATTGTTACTTCCCGGCTGCCCACACCGTGGAAGTTGGTTGCGTGACCGCAGAGCCCAGGGGACAACTGCTTGAGGCCGGTCACACACGGCCTGTTTTTGTTTGTTCTTTTTTATTTGGTGTGTCTCAGTAGCGTATTTATCACTTCTGCCCTGTGACACGGCAGCAGAAAGCGCGGTCGTTGTTAATCCGGGCCCCGACCGATCCGGCATGATATTTAGTGATTTATTTGAAATCATAGGATTGGATTGGGTAACTGCTTTTAGTCTAACTGCTATCCAAACAACCTTTCTGGCATGGTAGGACCTGCAGGAACATAAGTTCCAGCCAGTATAGCTTGTTGGGTCATTGCAGTGTTCAAGCCCGACCACCACGTCAAGGTAGCAGCTATCGGTCGGGGTTATTGAGTAGTGAGAAGAAAGGTAGTTAAGTATCCATTTAGCAAAGGTGAAGAGGATGAGAAAATGTACAAAAGGAACATGTGAGAGGGATAATGGTGAATTAATTATTAAAAATTAAAAATTTACAGGGAATGGCTAGTGAAGAGGTTAAGACCATGGTAGAATACGAGACTGGATAAACGATTTTGGTATACAGAGTTCGGGGTTGTATTAAAGAATTGCCAACGCCTCCGCCATACACAAATGTCGAAACCTGATGCCCTTTGTACCATTTGGCCTCACCTTGTAGATAATCTTGAAAGACGACTCTAGTGGAGCTGCGTGGCTTGAGTTCACCAAGTGCTCGAGAATTGAGTTAGTAACTGTCTTGCATTGTCATTTTGCTAACCATGTCGGATAATGTTCAAAGATGCGTTTGGAAAGGGTGAGCTTTGTGCGGCCAATATAACTAGCTCCACACGAGCAGGTGAATTTATAAACACACATGGAATTGGCCCAAGGCGGCAGTTTATCCTTCACACATCTATTGATCATTTGTCGGCTGTAGAAATTGATCCGTAGCTCAGCCTCAAAGAAGGATTTTCTCAGTGATCTGGATAAGCGGTTCTTCAGGATCTCAGTTAACTTCGACGTTCTTAAGATGATTTCGTCGATAAAGAAAATTTTCGTCGCTGAATTGTCTTTTATTTTCTCCATGAATGTGTTTTCTCACATAATATTAATATTAAAGACTCTTCAGCAGTACGCACCCACCAGGGTTCGAACTCCAGGTCTGGTTACAAGGCGAGCTCGTAAACCACTGAGCCACTGGGACCCGATCCAACGGTCCTTGAATTCTAACTTCTGCCAATTCACTACATAGCGCGACCATTTCACAATGTCTTCTTCGATGAGTTACTGCCTCATCTTCAACCTGCTGTATCCTACTGGTCAAGGCTTCCCACGGTTCTCTAACTGATGTCAGCTCATGATGAAATCCTCCATGCAATCAAACAAAATCCCTACAAAACCAATACTTGATAATATTAAAGACTCAAAGACCAAAGAATCTTCATGGTCGTCCACGTGTGCTAAGGTGCAGTCCATGTCATCATTTCGACTCTCTCTTTCTCACTGTAGTTCTACAAAACTTGAACTCTGTATAGCCTTTTTTACATTTTTAGTCAAAAAGTGTGTATATTTTTTCCTTCTTTAGAAAAGTTTTTAATACTTTAAACTTATGAATTCATGCAATTTTCTTAAATACTTTGTTTAGAATGCAAGTCTTGGTGAATTGACTGATTTTCTTGAGTATATACGTAAGAATTCAGTGATTCTTGGAGCTTTCGCTATGCAAGAAGCTGCACATTCCTCTGGCATAGACAGTGAAGCTTTATTCGACACTTTAGCAACTAATGGATATAAAGAAACACCACGTGAAAAGAAAAAGTCCAATGCAGAACTACAAAGCCATGTGTCAATGAATTCTAAAACTCATCAAAAAGGACCCGGTTAGTTATTGCACAGTTACTATTATTATTATTATTACGACCACCACTTAAATCCTGCTGAACAGTTTCGTAGAGTTTCAGAGGATTCTGTATGTTACAAGGTTTGATTACGAGTTGATATCAGTTGGAGGACAATTGGAAAACCTGCAGGGAGTACTCGAGAGCCGTTTCCTCCTAGTTTGGGACTCTTCAGTAGCAGTACGCACCCACTGGAGTTCGAGGATGAGACAACTGTCCAGTACCCCTTGCAGATTTTCCAATGGTTCTCTAACTGATATCAACTTGTCCATCAGACATGTAATCAATCCAATCCCTGCAAACCAACACTTGATGATTGTTCATATTATCAGATTGTGTTTTTGTGACTAAAATGTAGTCTTATGTGGTGTACTGCATTTTATTTGCCAATAATTCTTTAGCGATTAAAGATGGAATACTGAAGTCTAACTCCATCTAAAATCTTAATAGTTCTAAGAATGAATAAAAGGCGTAACTCGTTGAGTTCAGAAGGGTTTCATTTCTGAAGACATGAGGTCTAATACTGGGGTTGGTCATCTTTAAATATATTAAAGCGTAGGGAACATAAAACTAGTATTGATTGATATTACTTTCGTTAATTTAGACACTTGATTCTAGAATCATTGGGTTTGCAGATTTAAATACTTTTACACGTGTGCGGCGAACAAACTAATCAAGTGCCTGTTGTCCAACAAATATGCTGCAGAAAATGGAGATGGATCGAACACACACTGAGCAGACCGTCAGGTAACATTGCGCGCTAGGCCGTAGCTCGAGTGGGAAATGATGAGTTGGGCGTTGATCCGAGGGTGACATGGAGGAGGTCGTGTAATGAGGAAATGCAAGCTTATGGTCAATCCTGGGTCCAGCCGAACATAACAGAATGAAGACAGGCTGTTGAAGCCCTGTGTTACTCTGGGAACCTAAAGGAATAATAATATAATAATACACATTCAGTGCGTCTGTGGCACAGCGGTAGGATGCTCGCCAACCACGCGCATGTGGTCCGGGGGTTCGATCCCCGGCCACCGACGCACTCCTTTACCTGGATAAGCTGGTAATAAGACTGTTAAAGAGGGTAGATTGGGCATGAGGTTAGCAACCCTATCCCGTAAAAATAAATACCACTGCTACCGAAACTTCATGCCTCTAGCTTGAATCTCTGTGTTCCATTGGCAACGTAAAGGAATAAAAAAAATATACCTGCCACTGTTGGAAGTAGACAGGTGGTATCCTCAACTAAGTCTGGAAACACAGTACATAGATTTGTATATTTATGTATGCGTTGGTGGCTTAGCGGTAGGAATCTTCGCCAACCACGCAGATGGGCTCCGAGATTCCAACCCCGGCTGATGATGCACTCACAACCTCGCGGTTATCAAGTAGTAAGTCCAGTAAAGAGGGAAGGTTGGGCATGAGGCTAGCAACCTTATGCCATTCGTTAAAAGAAAATAACATCACTGCTATTAAAACTTCAAAGCTAAAGGCTCGGAGAGACCTGTTTCATTCGGAACTCAAAGGAAGAGAATAAACAATAAATAATTGTATATTTATGTATTCCTACTTCTTAAAGTATTTTCTTGTGTTTGACTTTTTATTTACTTATTTTCCAATAATTATTAGCTGGTACCTATACTGATGGATTAGACAGTGAATTGGAAATGTTAACTCAGATTGTCAATAATGCTAACAGTTCACGTGCTGTTACTGCCAGTGAGCCAACAACACGTGCTCGGTTAAGTGAAGATCTACGTAATTCTTCAACACACTCCAAAGTTGAAGATTTAGTTGATTTCGGACCGGTTTATCGTTGTCTACATATTCATTCAGTTTTAAATGAAAGAGCTGAATTCGAAAGACACTATTGTGCTCAACGACGAAAACAATGCCAGTTGACCTTGAGTTTATCACCAAATCAACAGGTTAGTAAGTAGTAGTAGTAGTATTTTATGCATTCTGTTTTCAATTTTTTAAACTTATATGCTGTAATGTATTTTGCCTAATAGCATTGTTTAAACCCCGTTTGATTGACTGTAAAAATAATGCTGTCCTTCAGATGACCGACCGACCAGCCAAGAGTATTATATTATTCCCTTGCGTTTTGAGTGAAACATACGGCGTCTGCAGCACACCTCCATTTCATCCTGTTCTCTCTGTTGTCGTCTTTAGCTGAACTCAGCGATCGGCCATAAGTTTTCATCTCCATGTCACTTTTGGACGGTCATCTTGTCGTTTCCCATTCGAGTTTTTTAATCTGGCGATGGCCTGGCATGCGACGTCACTGAATAATGGTCTTCTGAGCGTGTGTTCGATCCATCTCCATTTTCTCTGGAATATTCGTTGGGGGGGGGGTAGGTTCTTGGTTATTTCATTCCTGGAGGTCCCTGTTGCTTATCTTTTCTGGCCATCTGATCTTCACTATCGAGCTAGCGAAGAAAGCTGTTGATATAAAAGTCTTCAGTGAATTGTTGGAAATGTTTTTTTTTCGTGACGCCTCTGGCCAAGTCTCTGAACCATATAAAAGCACTGACTGACTTGGTATTAGTGTTGGAAATAGGAATCTTGTCTTTTAAGCTTAGTGTGGTAGATTTCCAAATTGATTTCAGATTACTGAAGGTCTGCCTTGCTCTTCAGTTCCTGGCTGGCTTTGACATCTTCATACATGCTGTCTGTAGCCCAAAACGATGCTGCCGAGATAAGTGAAAGGAGTATCTTCCTTCAAGTTTCTCGGGGATTAAATTCATGCTGCCAGCAAATTTTCACCTGTTACTTTTTAAAGAAATAATATTGTATACATGAAAGATGAAAGTAGGGATATTAGCTTTCATCTTGCGACAACAGGTATAGTAATTGAAACGTTCAGTCAAACTTTTTAAACTCTGCTCGCTTCTGTCAAATGTGAGATGATGCCACAAGATTGATGCCTCACTACTTTTAGCTTAAAGATATGTATGCTGGAGTGTGTACATCAACCCTTAATAGACTGATTGTTGGTGAAATCTAAGCATGGATACAGAAAGCTCATATGGCGTAGACGTGATATCCGCCTATCGACCAAAGGATGCGCATACTTCGCACCAGTACGCTCTGTCCTCCCTTATGGCTGTGAAAAATGGAAGATACGAAAAGACTTACTGTTTTCGACCATAGATGCTTGCGTTCTATCTCCAGGGTTAGGTAGTATAATAGAGTGAGTAACACTCAGGTCAGGGTACTAGAGTGCTAGGTTAAAGAGGGTAAGTCAATTGATAAGGTTGTAAAGGTGAACTGAGTAAGGTGACTCATCGACCACTTCGAAAACCGACATAGGATTAGATTAGAAAAGAGTTAGGAGCGGTCAAACCTGTTATGATCTATGTCGCCAGTTGCAATGAACTCGTCTCCAATTTCTTATGAACATGTCGCTAGTTGATATGGTCACATCGACAGTTGATATGACTAAGTAGACTTATGCGTGGGTATATAATAATACTGACTAAATGGACAACTCAACTGTTGTGCTAAATACTCGTAGTCGTCCGTGGTACCTTCCGCTTCACTTATTGTTCCCTTGGGTTCCTAGTGGAACATAGGGCTCCAACTGCACGCCTCCACTTGCTTTTGTCTTCTGCTGTACTTTTCACTTGCATCCATGTTAGTCCATACTGTTTCAGTTCCTGTTCACACGATCTCCTCCATGTCACCCTTAGACGTCCCACTCGCCGCTTCCCTTTCGGGTTCCACTCGAGCTATGGCCTGACGCGCGATGTCACCCAACGGCCTCCTCAGCGAGTGTCCAATCCATCTCCACTTTCTCCTGCATATTTGTTGAGCGATTGGTTCTTGTTTTGTTTGTTCCCATAGTTTCTTGTTGGTGATTCTTTCCGGCCATCTGATCTTCAGTATAGAACGAAGACAGCTGTTGATAAAGGTCTGCAACAGGCTGTTGGAAATATTCTTTGTGACCCGCCACCAAGTTTCTGATCCGTATAGAAGAACTGACTTGACGTTTGTATTGAAAATCCGAATTTTGTTGTTGATGCTGAGTTGAGTGACGAAGATTTCCAGATTGGTTTCAGGTTGATGAATGTGTTTCTCGACTTCCCGATTCTCGATTTGACATCCTCGTCCGTTCCTCCTGTAGTTGAGACAATGCTCCCTAGATAAGTGAATGAGGTAACCTCTTTCAAATCCCTCCCGTCGATGGTGATTGGCACTGGATGCTGCTGCTGTTGTTGTTGGTTGGTTATTTTCATAACCTCCGTCTTGTCTATGTTCACCTGGAGTCCTGTCTTTGCTGCTTCTTCGACCAGTTCCGCTTCACTGAGCCACGTAAATATTAAAAGACAAAGACTGGTGCTTGTGACTGTTAGGATACAACTTTTATTATGAAAAAAGCACGTTATATTTATGTATTTTTAACTGCATTAAAATCTGCGTAGGGCAGTGAAAGTAGACTGCTATAATTCATAAGTGATTCGGCTAGGTCCGCAAAAAATAAATATTCTGATTTGCCCAGGGTCAAGGTAAGAAAAAGATGATGAAATTTTACAGTTATCTGATCACACGATGAATCATAAGATGATTACTGTTGTTTTAACCGATTCATATTAAAACTGAAACTTGTCATCAGTCCATGAAGACATGAATACTTGGTTTGAGCTAGTCACATGGGGAGGTGTGGCCTACCTGGTGTTGGGATCTTCGGAATGCTAAGAACTAATTACTAGAGACTATTGATGATATGACTCAAAATCGTTCTCGGTGACGTGGACAGATCCACTCTTTGTGATCTCCACTTTACTACTCTCCCTCTCTCGCTCACATTTCTGTTCATTATAGTCCTTTTGAATCCTTTCTCCGCCTTTCCTTTGTCTACACCTTTGTGTGCTTTATTGGAGTGAGACAATGTGAAGTGGTCCACTTCTTTGCAAAGTTCAATGTTTAGACGGGCACCTATAGCTTTTATTAGACCACAGAATTAATATCTAAAAAAATGCATCACACAAATCTTCTTGTATCTACTAAGTAACTGAACTTAACAGTAGTTAATTCAAGTAGTTTTGTAACAACAGAAGACAAGGGCCAATCAACAGATCGTTTATTAAGGAAATCAACAGATATTTATAGATTTTCATGTACATTATTATAGATTATTGTTAGCAGACAAACACAGTCTTCTGATTGGCGGTTTCTCGTTGAACGTTAATCTTTCATCTCTTTGTGGCCGTTTATTGAAGTTCAGATTATCTATCTGCAAATTGTATCCGCCTACGCAAAGCCTGCTGTGGTTGGTTGTTGAATCAGTCTTTGTTCTTATTTTTCTCATGACCAATATTGGGGACATAAACATTGACGTAAATTACTGTCCAGAAATTTGGCTAGCAGCCAGCTCTCACCACAGTTTCATAATGTTTTACTGGGGGTTATTGTCACTTTCAAGATGTAACATAAGTTGAAGAAGTGTGGTTTTTTTGACCTAGTATCAATCAATATTTGTTGTAACACGACTCTCTAGATAAAAGCGTATAGTATAGTGACATAAAGTTAGTGCGTTGGGGTGTAATTTTTCACTGACTGAATTGATTTTAACGTGTCTAACCTTTATTTATTTTTAAGTCAATTTTGATTTTCCTTTTGATTTATTGATTGGTTGGTTGGACCGAAATGTTCGGCTTTTGTGTTGATATATTGGCTCATAGTAGGATGGATGCTTTCACGATGTCTTAGGATTAACTTGAAGTAATTTGGTGGATGTTGACTAGCAGTGAAACCCCAGATGCGTGGCATTTGGTCCTATTTGGGACTCGTCAACTGGATGTACCTGTATTCCTCAATGAGTGGTGATAGACTCCCACTGAGACTCGAATTCAGTACTAGACTGCTTGGACCAACTCTTTTGCGACAGGCGTCAGTTATTATTTGTTTTTTATTCTGTCAATCCTCATTGGGTTAGGGAATGTGCAGGTGTAATGACAGAAGACAAGGGCCAGGCAACAGACCGTTTATTGAGGAAATCAACAGATATTTATTGATTTTATGTACATTTGTTATTATTAGCAGGGAAAGAGCGTCTTCTGATTGGTTGTCTTGCTGCTGAAGGTTATTCTTTCATTTCTTTGTTGCCGGTGTTATATCTGCGAATTGTATCCGCCCACGCTAGGTCTGCTGTGATTGGTTATTGAGTTCCTCAAGGTTAGGCTTTGTTCTTGTTTTTTTCTCATGACCCCGATTTGGGACGTAAACATTGACTTAAATTGCTGTCAACCTATTTTGGCTAGCAGACAGCTCTCACCACACAGGTACATTCAGATGATGATTTTCAAATAGGACGAAACGCGTCTCTTGGATTCCATTGTTAGTCACTATCCACCAAATTACTGAATGTAACCTTTGTTCATTTCTTAATAATATGTAATAAGTAAATTCCAATGAACTGTTTGTGTATCTACTTATTTCTATGGCTTTTATTGGAAAATTAATATATTCATCAAATTGAGAGTGACATGGCTTTTCATGACATGAGTTAAGATGATTACACTTTCGGCATGAGATGTTCGCTTTTTTTCACTAATAACTTTGTTATACTGTATGTGTGTGTGTGTGTTTATTGATCACCTGTAGCTGTACTAGTTTATCTGTTACAATTTGAGGTCATCATAGTAGAATTCGTAAGGTTACAATCTATATCAAAACACCCTGGATAAACTATTGTACACAGTCCCATTGCTTTAAGGTCAATATGTAGCTGTAAGTTCTGAATGGCCTAGCTCTATGTGGTTCCATGCTTGGAGCGATTAGCATTCATGATGAGCAATATCACGTATATATATTTTATACATGTAGAAATATTTACTTTTCAATTAGATCCTTACCTATGACTCTATTCTAATACATGTATGGCCTTTTTTAATACAATCCAGTCAAGTGTGAGGATGAATTT